AAAGATTTTAAAATGATGGCATTTTTGAAAAATGACATCTCATAGTAGCATTTTTCAAAAATTCTCTTAAAATAAAATCCTCTATTTGAACTACCACATATTTGTTTGCTTCCAAATTTGTTTGCTTCTATATATTGTATATATGATACAAAATTTGGTGAGTAATTGAGTTAAAATATAGTTGGGCAAGTTATTTGTATATTGGTCCATTTCATTAGGATGTTTTAGTCTTGATTAGGTGTCTTTTAAAATCCTCTTTAAGTGACACATGATTTTTAATAGAATAAATAACTATATAGCTTTTTTTTAACAATCTACATCAAAGGTTTATGGAATTCATCAAAGATCCCTAACTTTTTTACTATTTACACTTAATTCATATGAACGAAAAAATAAAATAAGAAGAAAATAGTGATAGTGTTGTAATTTTCGATGGATTTAAAATTGATAGCATATAATAGAAATACACTTACCATGTCTTTTTACCTACTATGTTGATGTAACAATTCTCATCATTTGTAATAGAATAATAATAAAAATACAGTGTTAAAAAAAATTCTTTCAAATTGTTTTTTCTTCTCGGTCTAAGAATGTCTTTCTCTCTTTATTATCTCAATTTTCAAACTATGGTTCATCAAATTATTCGAATGGATCATGCCTAAAATTATGATTTCTATTATTATTTAAATTGACCAAATTTTGTTTTGGTATGAACGTGTTGCTAACCTTTAGAATATGGGTATACGATCTCATGACAAATTCAGAAAAAGAGGATTTGTGATGACAATATTAGTGATTTTTTGATGAATCAAAGACGGAAAATGCGACACCATTTGTATTACGAATCAATAGATAGGTTTAGTCCATCAAGAAAGTTCTTGCAAAGATTTGGAACAAGTTCAAAACCACTTGTGATGGTTTTGGTTTCATCCCGAATAAATTGGATAATTTTTACGATGATAAGTTGATGATGTATGTCTTTTGGTTGTGAAGATGTACTTCTGATGTGTGCAAGTTTTAATATTTATAAACTCTAGACTAATCTGTAAGTGCAAATGTAATCATAGTTGTACTTATGGTCGATCCACTAAGGGCAAGGACATATCACGTTACAAATCTATAAGACTTAAATTAAGCTAATAGAACATATAATTTGGGTCTATGGTTTATGAGATACAAAAGGAAGCATTAAGAAAACAAACTAAATCAATGATGAAAATGTTAGATAATAGGTAATTCACATAAACACATAAAAACACAAAATAAATATCGATTTAGATAGGAAAAACAAAAAAAAAGTTCTTCGCCCTAGAAAAAATTCTCTGACACAAAAGTCGAGGAGCCGCTTCAACCTTGTCCAGATGTTTTCTCACCGGCGTTTGCCTCGTTCGTCCTTGTAACTTCCATGGGCTACTGTTGGTGCCGGCGAGATCCTTCCGAGCATAGACGGCCTTGGTAACCTATGTCATTATCTGCCCTTTCCACATGGATTCTGGTAAGATCTCTACATGCTCTGTGCTCACCCTTTGTCGATCGAATCAGCAGCCGGCGATGTCTCTGCATCAGCTCCCGCCTACGCCATCAAACCCTAAGTTCTCCGCCAGAGCCGCCGAAGCCGCCGGAACCTCTGGATCCGCCGGATTCACCGCCGCGGACCGAGCTGACCTCTGTTCCTTATCCTCGGCTCCTCCCACCTCAACCATCGGCGTTTGCAAAACTATCGTCTTCTTTTGTCGAGATGTTTCCGTTGCAGCGCCTCGAGTTTGCCACCGTCATCCCTCCGGATGAGCCCCTCTTGTGGGGATGTTCAGCTCTTGGATCCGTGCTTGGCCTCTGTCCCGTTAATGTTCATCACCGTCGAATACGACGAAGACCCAACCGAGCACCATCCGAGCATCCTCACAGCCCTTATCTTGACGAATCCTTCGAACAAGATTGAAGTTTATTGGGGAGCCTGGCCCAGATCTTTGAAGGCACCACCGGTTTCAAGCTCTGCGGCTGAGAAAATATCTCCTTCGCAAGCTTCCTCCGTCCTTGCTCGGCCGAGATCTTCAGCGGCGATGGAAGCCCCGCTACCCTAGCAATTATTACCCTGTCCGGGTATTTTAAATTTATGGGCCTGGCCCATTATATTTTAAATTATCCATCAGTATTTTTAAGCCCAAACACATTTCATTTTCAAGTATGCTTGCAATCGTTCAGACCGTTGAAACCCAAGTTTTAGTACTGCATTATTCTTGTTGGTGTTAATACAACGATGCTCTATGGGCTTGATATCCTCGTTATTGTGAAACGATTAAAGTTTTCTGGATTCTCAGATCAAGTATCTTCTGAGCTCGATATCCTATCGTTTGAGAAAGGATCAAAGTTTTCTGGATTCTCAAATCCTGTAATTTACTCCCGGTGGAAAAGTTCACTTTTTCCATCTCTTTGAAACTGGTAGTATCTTCTTCCCTCTCACTGAGAGTCGCCCACATTTTTTGGATAGATAAGC